ACTCTGATACCAAACACTGCTATACCTACTTTTGCAATCATTGGCTCAGAACTTTGAGAAAGAAGTGCCTTTAAAGAAGGGAAGGGTTGCTGTTTGTTTTTAAGTGCTGTCAAGTCAATTCCAACCCATAGCAGGTGGTGAGCTTGAACCGCCGACCTTGCAGTTCAAACGGCTTTGCAGTCTAGAGCATTAACGCACAGTGCCACACCAGGACTTCTTAAATATTTGTCTCGTGCATTGAGAATTCACCCTGTAACACAGGTACCATTTTACTCATTGTATTAATGAGAAAACTGAAGTTCAGAAAGGTTAGGTTACTCCCCACCATACTCTCACCCCCCAAATGGTTACTTAGGTAACCAACTAAATGAAAAGATTTTGACTACACCAAGACAGGACAGAAGGAAAAGAAAGTATACCAGGGAAGATTTAATGTGCAGTGTTAGTTGAAGTTCCTATGGACATCTAAGAGGAAATACTTGATTAATGGTCTGGTAGCGTAGTGGTTACGAATCGGGCTGCGAACCGTAAGGTCAGCGGTTCGAAACTACCAGCCGCTCCGCTGGAGAAAGATGAGGCTTTCTACTCCCGTAAGGATTTACACCCTCGGAAACCCTGTACAGGGTCGGAACCGACTCGACGGCACTTAACAACAACACAACAACAGTTGACCTTTAACTTGTGAGGTAGAAGTGGGTATCAGAGAAGATATGTATTTGAAAGTCTTCAGCATTGAATGGTAACTGGAGCCATGAGAGGAAAATGGTTATGTAAAGAGTGGGAAGAGGGACAAGGCCAGATCTTTGGAAAACTGTAAACATTTAAGGAACAAATGGAGGAAAAAGAACAGTGAGGAAGTGGTCAAGTGGTGGTAAATGGAAAAGATAATTCAAGTAAAATAAGAGCAGAAAACTGTTCATTGGGTTAGCAACAAAGATGGCATTGTTCACCTTGTGGGGAGCAGTTTCAGTGGAGTGGGACAGGCAGAATGTATGTTACATGGGGTTACGAAGTGAGAAACTAGAGACAGATGGTTTGGATGCCTTCTTTTCCAAGACTTTCTCTTCCCTTGAAAGGGCACAGTGTCTTTTGTTAGACTATATATTCTGGCTTTTGGTTTGAAAATATGGTCATCATACTTCTAGGCAGCCTCTGAATCCAAAGGATCGAACTGAATTCAAAGATGATTTATAGAGAGGGAGGGAGTAGTAGGGATTCCAGGGGTTCTGTCTGCAGTTAAGATTATAAGCAACAAAGTCTGGAAAAAATTTTTCTCTGACTCTTGGATTTCTTTTGTTAAGCTGGAAATGAGTTTCCTGTGCTGAAAAAACAGGGGGAACTGTTTATCGATCACCTATCATTTTATAGTTCTCATTTCATAGGCTCTATACTTAAACTTCATAACATCCTATAAGGTAAAGAGTATTAGTGCCAATTACAACAGAAATGAAGTAGGTTCCGAAAGGTTCAGAGTCCCTGACCACCTAGCTAGCACATGGCGATGTGAAGGTGAGGATATCTGAGCCTGGATCACCTAAGGAAACAGAATGATTCACTTGCAACAGTTCATATGTGTGTGATTGCCTGGCTGGAAGAGGACAGGTCTCCATTTAAGAAGAGATTGATAAAACATACAAAGTGAAACAAAGTCAGAACCAAAAAAGGCATCTTGCAAGGTTAAAATTATGTGAATAATGATGTGCATTAGCTATTTTAATGTCTTCCAAGTGCATTTCATTTTGAATGATATACTCCGATAGCACACACGGTAAGGTATAATTGAAAAAACATGTAGGAGAAAGGCTGGTTTCAAAGAATAAACATACAGCTGTGAGGAGGTTAGGAGTCAAAGGGCTAAGCATATGCCCCCGCCTCTAGGGATCTCATTAGTGCATGAGTGACCGTACATGTAGGGGCTAAATGAATCTCACTGTTTGCAAAGACCCACAGTAAATGAGACAATGACGAATCAATAGTAATTAGGCCTATATGTTCTTATTGACCCAGATGTCTGAAACCAAATGTCCTGCTCTGAGATTCCTTGAGAAGCAAGATGAAAAGATTTATAGATGTAGGCTTCTTGAAAAAAAACAAAAAACAAAACTCCTTTACTCTTACCAGCAGTGATACCATTCTGTAATGGAATGTTGCTGGAATGAATGCAGACTACTAGTCTGTGAGTCCGAATCGACTTGGTGGCAGTGGGTTTAGTCTCCTGGTGGGAAAGGATGTTTTCATGGTTTTTATTATAAATCTGATTCCTACTAGACCAGGAGCAGGTAGAGCTAGGAGATAGGAAACCAGGATGTGATCATCTTTTATGCAGACCTATTGTTCTGGGTTTGCTATCTGTGGATGTGTAACAGGATCCTTCCCTAACATAATAATAGAATCATTCTAAAACGCATTTGAACGTGGAGCTTTCACAAATAATTTCTGACCTGCGGTACAGAAAGTGCAAGCCACACAGAGAAAGGTTTAAATTTGGACTCCACCCTGTCTCATCACTTCTTTGAACTTCCTCTCTATTATTAACAGCCCTTTTGGGTCCCTCACAAAGAAGAACCTCATGCAGAGTTGCAGAAAGGGCCAATACAATCCGGTGGGTCTTCATTGGCTACTATTGGCAGTAGATTACATGGTCTTTTTTCCTAGTCCATCTTAGTCAGGAAGCTCCACTAAAACCTATTCAGGATCATAGCAGCTCCACTGACCAATGTTTGGTGTATGCACATGAAGTTCATTGAAGAGGAATTGAATCCAGGTCTCCTGCATGGAACTCAGAAATTCTGCCTCTGAGCCACTATTGTCCTGGTCTCCTCTACAGATGCTAATGACACCTTCTTCACTGGATTGTGGAAAGAAGGTCTGGCACATGTTGGCAATCAGGGCAAGGCAATTATTGTTGCTATAGTTGTCAAACCTTTTCCCTGTAATACATTATTCTTCCTTGCAAAAGGTTTTAGCAGACAGAAATGAAAACTCACTGTAAGAAGCAAAGAGACTGCTTAGTGGATACAGCTCCCTAGCCTCCATATCAACACATATACTCCATGTGCATGGACACACACTGTCACATTTATACACATGACTCACATATGCACTTACATAGACAGCTGTAGATTTTCTATATTTCATATAGGCATTCCACAGAAAACTATTATTTAACTCAAGAGTTCTTTCTACTGACAGAGGGGGAAAAATACTGCTGTACCGCAATGGGTTTTTTGTTTGTTTACTTCAACTTTGTTTCAAAATTTTTAATGAACTTCACAGGATCTATGAGGATTTGTGTAAAGATCTATATGAGGATTTGTGTAAAGCAAATCTGCTGCACAGGCCTCTTTACAGTGTTCAAGAAAAAAGATGTCAGTTTGAGGAATAAGGTGTACCTGACCCAAGTCATGTATTTTTCATAGCCTCATGTACATTTGAAAGTTGGACAATTATAAAGAAAGACTGTAGAAGATTGATGCATATGAATTGTGGTGTTGGAGGAGAATATTGAAAGTACCATGAACTGCCAGAAGACCAAACAAATCTGTGTTGGAGGAAGTACAGCCAGAATGCTCCTTGGAAGTCAGGATGGCAAGACTTTATCTCTCATTACCTGGACGTGTTGTCAGGAGGAATCAATCCCTGGAGAAGGCCATCGTTCTTGGTAACATGAAGGGTCAGCAAAAGAAGAGAAGACTCCTAATGAGATGGATTGACACAAAAATGGGCTGAAACATAACAATTGTGAGCATGGTGTATGAGCAGGTAGTGTTTTGTTATAATGTGCATAGGATTGTTATGAGTAAGAATCACTTGGTAGCATCTAACAATAGCATGAAGACATTAATGGTGTCACAAAAGTTGACTTAGAAATCACTGGGCCTTCTAAAATATTTTAAAACCTTAGATAATAAACATTGTCTTAGATGTCTTAGATACTAATCTTTCTTGGATATTGAGTTTCTATAATTTTCCTCGCCATTATTCAAATATATTAAATTCTTAAATCTATGGAATCCTGGTGTGACACTGCACCATAATGTCAGTTGGAACCTCAAGGTCAGCAGTTCAAACCCACCAGTCGCTCCTCGGAATCCCTGTACAGGGTCCCTACGGGTCAGAACCGACTTGACAGTACTTAACAGCAACAACATTAAAGCTATATTTCTAGGAACATCAATGGGAAGTGGGAAAGATGCCAAATTCTGATATACCTACTTTCTTCTACAGTCATTGGTAATACTTTGAGAAGAAATATCCTTTAAAGAGAGGAAGGGTAGCCAGCTTTAATCTTTGTACTATGCTTTGAGAATTAACCCAGTGAGGTAGGTACTATTATACCCACTTTATGGATTAGAGAAACTGAAGTTTAGAGAGGTTAAGTTACTTGCCCATGTCATGCAGCTAGGATAGAACCAGAGGAGAACCAAGATAAGTCTCCTAACTCCTGTTGTCAGATACATTCACTATGTTTAATAATTTGCCTTAGCAAATTCCTATCCCAAGTCTGGTAACTTAGTATTTGTCTCCTTTGTCATTATCATCATTATTACAATTATGAATACATATTTTTTAAATCCTTTGCATATGTATAATACTATTCAGTTTACAAAATAGCATATCTTCTTTGATCTTCACAATAAGCCTATGTATGAGGTAAGTTGGCTAGGGATTATGTTATTTGTTTTTACAGATGACAAGAGAGTGGTTCAGAACGTTTGAATAACTTTCTTATGGTCACTAATCTATTATGGGTAAAGTCATTCCTGGAATCTAGATCTTTCCACTAGAACATTCCAGCATTTCTTGGTGATACTACAATACGATTTTAGAATACAGCATGCTCATTTCTCTGGGTTTTGGGTAGTTTCTTTGCTGAAGCTTTTGGGGCCCTGATTTCTTTCCTGGCACTGATATCGAGGTACAAATGGTTTCTTTCGGTAGAAAAATTTGCTCCCCGACCCTATCCCCCCTTTTAAAAACAAAATCTACTTCTCTTCCAGATGCCAGAGTATATATGCATATTTGAACAGTCACCTGGATCTGATTAAGAAGGCTCAGCCTGTGGGTTTCCTCACTGTTGATTTACATGTTTGGCCAGATTTCCATGGCAACCGGTCTCCCTTAGCAGATCTGACACTAAAGGGCATGGTAAGTAACAGCCAGTCCTTACACGAAGGTGAAAGCAGAGCAAAAAGGCTGTAAAGTTTGTAGGAAACAAAGTGAGGAGAAAAGAATAAAGATCAAAACAGACCAACAGCTCATAAGTATCTTGCAGCTACCTCACTGTTATGAAGGTTGGTAGTGCCCCTGGGATGATCTGCTAGAAATTCTCATTGTTTCTGAGCTAACCTTGAGAGCATTCAAAACAGTATTTCTTATGTTCAGCTACTAACGCCTCTGTGTCTCATTGAGTCACTGAAATTGTGAGCCCTGCCTCTCAATTTTGTACGTACACAAGTTTGCGAAGTCATGTTTTCTGTTTTCATCTCTAGAATGCCGGGTAAGTAAGTGGTACTTAAAAATTGTGAAGATGCTGCTAGATCGGTTGGTGTTTCATTCGGTTGTCATGAGTCAGAACTAATTCAATAGCACCTAACAACAACAACATAGTCTTCCTAAGGAGCACTGGTGGCTCAGTGGTTAAGTGCTTAACCACCAACTTAAAGGTCGTGGTTTTAACCCACCAGCCACTCTTTGGAAGAAAAGACCCTGTAGTCTGCTTTTATAAAGATTACAGCACAGATAATCCTATGGGGCAGTTGTATTCTTTCTTATAGGGTGGCTATGAGTCACAATTGACTTGATCACACTTGATAACAAAGATGTGGTCTTATGTGGCACAGATTCACATCTACTTAGATGCCAGTGCTGTTCAGAGTCCTTGCTCATAACATTAGAATTTTAGATCAAACATTTGAAAATGATATATGATTAATGATAATGTTAGAGAATAAACTGTTAGAGTTTCTTGTGGCAGTGAAATGCTGAGCCTTCCTGAAAAGGGCAGGATGAACTTGCTGGGCTAGGTCACAATTGCCTAAGCTGTGGTATAACATCTTGGAGGCCAAGTGCCAAGTCACAAGGTGACTGAGAGCAATATGTTGTTAGCTGCAAGTTGGTGCCTAGCTTATGATTACCCCAAGCATTATGAGATCAGACTGTTGTGATCTTTAGGGTTTTCATTGGCTGATTTTGAGAGGTAGAGCTCACCAGGCCTTTCTTCCTAGTCTGTCTTAGTACGGAAGCTCCACTACAACTTGTTCAACAATCATAGCAACATGTAAACTTCCATTTGTGATGACTGTGCATTGGTCAGAATCAAACTCGGGTCTTCAGAATGGAAGGTGAGAATTCTACCACTCACCCACAACTGCCCACAATAGTGATCATGAGTGAGAAAGGCTCAATTTGACTTAATAAAGTAGATTAAAGCTAGAAAAGTAGAGCTATGCTTCAGGACCAAGAGAGGCCACAAATATGAAAATGGTAAAGAAGTTGAGAAGTACAATATAGGTCAGTTAAGATAGCACCTAAAGATGGCGGATCGAGTAGATGTGCAGTGAGGAGCTCCGTCAGCAATAACACAGAATACCGGACCAAGCAGGTTCAGGAGATGGTGCTAGAACTCTAAACCACATATAAAGGAATATCTAGAAGCTTGGAAGGTTTACAGCTAGGGGAATTTGTAGCAAAATCAAGAATCAAGATATCCATTGCTTTCTAATTCAAGATGCTTAGCTGCTCCCGGAGCCACCATCTTCAGAGAGACCAAGCAGGGGAAGGATCAGAACAGCCGCAAACACCTGACATACCTTTTTTTGGAGATACAGGTGTGGACATTTTTGTTGTTGTTCTATCTGTTCATTGGTTTCTTGCTTTCTGCGCACCTCCATTCTGGTGACTAGAGGGGATGCCTGAGAGAATGGACACCACACCCCCACCCCTGGAGGGTTCTATGCATGCGCTCAGATGGCCTCGAAATTTAAAGTGACAGTTTCAATTTAAAACCAGACAGCCACCACTTGTCTGTCAGTTTGTCAT